TTTCTTGTCTTTTTAGATTTTCTGTAGATCCTTTTAGGTTTTCTGTAGAGTTTCAAGGGTAGTTCATTCCTTGTTTGTTTTGATATTTTTGTGTGTGGGTGTTTTTTTTTTTTTTCCTCTACAGAGCTGTTGGGCATGTGCAGCTTTCTTGAGCAAGTTGAAAGGGTTTTATGAAAATTATCTTGAGCTTTTTCAGCGTTTAATGAATGATTTTCTACTCTTTTGAAATTATTAAGGGCTCTTATGTGTGCTTTAAAAAAAACTTGGTGTAGCATCGTTACATGCATTACATGAATGACAGAGTCGATAGTAGGTCTTTGGTTTGTGAACAGAACGTGTTGTATTAAAAACACGGTATTGTACCGATGGGAGTGTTTTGTACAGAGAGAGAGTCCAAAGGGCACAGATTGCACGGAGGGAGACCAAAGGTCCGTGTAGCTCAGCGTCTTGTCTGTGGTGGCGGCCAACAGCGAATGACTAAGAAAGACTAGAAACGCAGAGCAATCATGCAGTGATACTTCTCTCTGCATGGTCTGTGGCATCAGCTAGTTCTGATTTGGGGTCACAAGACATGTCCTTGTTTAATGAAAAGCTTTTTCTGTAAACTTTTGTGCTTTTTTTTTTTTTTTTTTTTTTTTGTGCACTGCATGTGTTTTTTCTTTGTTGGCATCCCCTGTGCTCTGTAACAGAATTGCATGGGGAAATGCTGTGTGAATAAGGACCTTTGTTTTGAACCCACGGGGTGATAGGTCGTCTGCCTCTATTGTTTGGGTGGGTGAGCAGTAGTAGTCATTCCCTGTCACTTCCCCACACCCCCTGTGGTCTGGCAGTCCCCATTGGGGGCCGCTCCCCCCCCCCCAACTTTGGCCACTACTCTTCTTCAGAATGAAGAATCCCACCACAGATGTAGCTGGGTGTGTTGGCTGAACTACACATCGGACAGTGCAGTTGTGGGTGGGAGTTGTCACCAGTGGGAATTTTCCTGTGGGAACCTGGATTTGCCCTGGTGCCTCTGCATGGCCCTTAATCATAATGATGTACTTGCTGATACCAGACACTGGTAGAGCAGCAGTGAATTAAACCATATGTATGTATGTAGATGACTTGAAAAGATGAATGTAAATGCTCTAGTTCAAAGCAAAATTGAGCTGTTAGACATAAACTAAGGGAAATCATATCTGTAAGTGATAACACTATAGCCCAAACTTAAAAATGAGGTCAGAATGACTTGGTTAAGCAATTGAGTAGGAACTTACAGTGCTCTGATTGCTAAAGGGTTTTCTTTTATTCTTGGTTGTATTTGGATGGGGAACCAACTTAATTCCTACTTGTGGTGCAGCTCTGATGCCTATTCTTATTTATGAGGGAACAGCTTAAAGGATCTTGAAATATTGGAGCAGTCTCATTATGCTGGCCAAGCCTCTGGACAGCACAGTTCCTGCAACAGTGCCTGTAGCCATGCGTAAGAACTAACCCGTATGATGGACAGTCCATTTTATGGCATGCATGCAGGGAAATGTTCATGTTTGGACTTGGATCTGGAGGCCTGGACATTTTTTAGCTTAAGAAAAAAAAAGGTAAATAGTTCTATTGAGAAATGGGAGGAAGTTGAGTCATCTTTATACTTCAGTGCAGAGTCTTGAGAGTTTAATAGCATAGCTCCATAGGGAGAACAAACTGAATGTCAAAGCGATTCAGAGTACAATAGACTCAAGACTATGTTAAGGATTTGACGTTGAAAAAGAAGAGAAGGAATTAAAAAAAAAAAAAAAAAACAGTTTCTGTTGACCAATGTTACCTGGATTGTTTTTGTCTGAAACTTGAAGTTCCAGACAGGGTGGATCTTGTGTATAGTTCAGTAGCTCTTAATGCTTGAATCATAACTGCTGCTTCTGTGGTCCCCATTGGGCAGGAGGCTGCATTTCTTAAAGAGCCACAATGTTCACTTTAAGGCTTCAGATTAGTAAATGTGATGGTAGCAAATGCTGGGAAGCTGTGAACAGGTTTGTCTGAATGTTTGTTCTGTGTGCGTTACATGCTTCTCTTGGGTCACGTGTTGAAGCTTTAGTACTTCTCAAGATGGCCACCAGAACTCTGTTTCTGTTTCATAAACGATCTGTGCTCTTTGTTTGGAAAGCAATCGGTGGAATACCTCTGGGGTTTCCACTGGCTAATTGTGCTCGATAGCATTGTGTTGTCTGGAGCTATAATTGCTTCGTGTTGCATCCTTCATCTCACCAGGCAGAGCTTCAGTCCAGTTCGTGTTGGAAATGTCTGCTGAGGTGCTGCTCTGTGAATCTGAGCCCAGGCCATGATGGCTTCTGAAGGGAAAGCCTTTGGAATACGAATCACAAGGGTATTCTGTCTTAGGTGGATTTTGCTGCTTCTTTCAGGTGTCCTGAAAAATGGCTGATGATATTGACATTGAAGCAATGCTTGAAGCTCCTTATAAGAAGGTGAGAAAAATGTGCCCGTGAGGTCTTGTTTACCGTAATTTAGCATTATTCATGAAACTACTGCTGAACTGTAAACTAACATCCCTGGAGCCCTCATGATTTATCTTATCGGAGATGCATTACATGTAACTTGCAAGTAAATATATACTGTTAATGTAATTATATTGTGCAGTAGTTTCACTTCAGCGTGATGAATAAATGCCCATCTATCTCTCTTTGTAGACTTGCCTAACGATATCTCACCTCTACTCCCATGAATTCACCTTTGATTCCAGTGTGAACTGTCAATCATAAGGTAGTAATTGAGTGACGTATCGCTGTACCGTGGTCCCCTAGGTTTAAAAAAACAAACAAACAAACAAACTCACCCAAAACCAACCAACCAACACCCCCCCAAAAAAAATCCAGAAAAAAACCAAAACAAAACAAGAAAGCAAAAACCTCCTCTAAAATTGCCAGGTCCAGTTTGGTATAGCAACAAGGTGAATGCAGTGGTTTGGGAAAACAGCAGGGTTCCAAGAATAACCTTTTCACCAGTCCTGTGGCAAGTAAATATTTCAAGAGTCTACTCAGTGCAAGAAGAGTGAGACTTACTTTTAAAGCAGAAGGCTGGTGGCAGTTAATCGTTTAACAGGGTAGATGGAAATCTATTGCTGAGTGAATGAATTTACAGAAATTCTTGGATCCCTGAGTAGAATGTTCTTAGCAAGTAAAAGACAGTATCACAGTCTGCAGTGTCATTCTAAGGTCAGCTCTTGTACTCTTCTGTCTTAGCTGTTTAATTAGGAAATGTCAATTTTTATGCAAAATTTTTATCAGTTAGCATAGTGATGTTGTTTACCTAAACTAGCAGCAAATTAATACTGTTGTTTTTGTTTATCACCAAATGGTGGTGAAGTGTTAATATTGTGCATGCTTTAGCACTGTTTTCACAAAAAATGTATATTAAGTCGGTTAGGAATTGTACTTCTGATGTAACTGATGTGATTAAACTGTAAAGCAAGTGTATAAGTTATATAGCAGCTATTGTTAGTCTATTCTGCAGTGTTTATTACAACTATGTCATGAATTTTGGAGGAGTGTTTGTAAGTTTTAAGTGTTATATTTAGTTTATGTAATATTTAGCAGTTATGTTAAAAACTTGAAGAGAAATTTGTAAATTGTTATGTTAAAATTCTTGTGTCCTGGTTTAACATGGATATTTTCCATGTAAACAGGTATGGAAATAGGGAATGTTTAGGCTGGACTGGTGGATTATTGCTGACTTTCTTGGGAGTCGACGTTACTAAAGCAGTGTGAATCCCTGTTTGCTTCAGGGCGAGATGTGTGACAGAGGTGACATCAAGCTCTTACAACCCTTCAGCGAAAATGAGCGAAGATCTCGGGAATGGCATCCGTCACAGGAATCCATAGTGGCTGGCTGCTAGCGTAGCCACTGGGGCTTAGGCAGAGATATAGCCTTGGTACTGATCAAAGGGGCACAAACACAAACCTCAAATCTCCTCTTACGCTTTATAGAAATAATATTTAACCACTTGAGTGCTGAATTCTACAGGATAACTTGCTCTCTAAACCATGTAAGGAAGTATCTACAATTTAATACACACTTTAAAATGATGTAAGTCTTGTATCTTGTAATTGTATGACTTAAATTTGAGCAGCAAAGTGGTTAAACATGACTACCTAAATTTTCCAAAGCTTTCCATGTTAAACTGTAAACAAGTAATTTAGTATTAAAATTTTTGTTTTGTATTTTCTTATTCCTATTCCCATTACCCTTTGACCACTTGAAATGTTTCCGCTTCGTCCTCACGATGTTCTTCTATCAACCCTGCTTAGGATGAGAACAAATTGAGCAGTGCCAATGGCCACGAAGAACGCAGTAAGAAGTAAGTGTTTTCTCAGTTCTCTGCATCTGAGGGGAGTGGCTTCTGATTTTTGTAAACTTGTGAGCGCACACCAGTAGTGTCTAGGGAAGCGAAATGGAGGAGCGTGGTGCTTGCAGCTGCAGCAATTACATCATCTTTTGCTTACAAATCTGGTGATGGCTTTGTCACTGATGTCACTGAAGTTGTCAAAATATTTAATGTTGGCCTCTGATAAAAATACAGATGTGATAGGGTCAGCATATTGAATTTATTTTTTGTTGCTTTAGCAATGCAATGGATTTTACATTTTAAAAATATATTTGGTGTAGAGTTATATGTGACTTGGGAACACTTAACAATACTAGTGCTTTCTTGAAAAGGTGTAGTGAGGGATCCCATCTCTGCCTTCAAAAACGTCTCAGTTTTTGAACCAGAGTACATGCCCACCTTCAGGAAGCATAATTCCAGGGTCTGAACACCTGCAGTGTCCCAGAGTCTGGGATCAAATGAGAAGTTAGAAGAAAAGTGCCTTGCATAAATATCTTAAATACCATGCCTTCCAAATAAACGGAAGGTTTTTAAGTCTGTAAAAGAAATTCCTTACCTTGCAAGCATCGTTTGGTGATAGTAGATGTAAAAAAAATAACAATTAATTTGATAGTTGAGTAGACAGTAACTGGCGACTTTTGTAATCTCCAGATAGCTTAAGCCAGTATGTTTGTTATCTTCTGGACTTGTACAGCTGAAATGCTGAAGGAATCTGAGGAACATTTCTTCCCAGATGTATAAGTTTTTGGGCAATGAGACGTCCAATGTCGGATTTATATGGGAATCTAATAATATAAAATTCATTACACCTAACATCTGTGTTCTAAACAATACTGTGAACAGTGTTCTCATGCTGAATACAGGGACCCTTAAAGTCCCATTTAAGTTGTGAATTTTTATTGCTTTAAAACGTACAAATGTTACATAAAGCCCTGCTTTTGTTTGGACTGCTGGTCTCAAAATATATACTGGGTTCTGACACAAAAGCAGTGTTCTTTTGGAAAAAGAAAGTTAGGTTTGATTCTGACATTGGTTCATGGTAGAATGTACTCTTGTTCACTTCCTTAGTTGCTGTGGTCGCTCTAAGGCTGAGACAACGTTTGTTACTTTCTGCCCACGGTCCTATTTTTGGGTTGGACCTGTGTGCTATGAGTTTGTTTTCCTAACGAAGAAAGAGTTGAGTTGGGAAAAAAAATTATATTATTGTAAAATAGAAGAAAGTCAAGGTGTGTTGCTATTGTTGGTCTTACAATATTTGTTCAGTGGAGTTTCACCTCTTTGTCTGCTTTCCTAATTGTGCCCTTGTGTCTGTTCATAAATGTTGCTCCTGTGGTATGTCCCCAGTTTGGTTTTGGATTTAGAATTTGCTAGTTTAGTTATTCTTGTACTGCAGTTCTCTGGTAGTATGAAGCTTTTTGGCCCAGAATTTTGATTTGATACAGCAGTTGTTCCCCCAGATCTTGAAAGATCGATCTGTGCCATTTTGTATATCACCTGTGACAGGATACTTTGTTGCTGAAGCCTAAGGTGTATGTAGGCTTTACAAGGTTTCTTGCTTTGCTTATCATTTGAATTGTTTGGAGTGTTGGTATCTAGAAGATATCCTTTATCTCCTTTAGTTGGACAATACTGAAAGAAGATTGAAACTGTCAGGAAAACTGTGATCCACAGCAAACATCCAACACCTGAAAAATAACATTAGATTCAGTGTGCAACTGTCAGTAGTTGTCAAATCATACTAAACTCATGTTTTAGAAACTGGAAGAATCTGCAGTTTCACTAGATGTGTGTACTCGATGTCCAATTTAATCGTGGGTGGAAGGCAGAACGTGGATATTGATGGTTAGGAGTCTTCGCATGCAAGATTTGGCTCACTTTTGCTCTCTGTACTGCAGACTAGCTGCAGTTATTAGTTACTGGTACTGGCCAGTATATTGAGCTACAGGTAGTATTTTTTGCAGCTGTTAACAATAGTGTTTGAGGGTTTCAACTTAGATACTGGCAACTGATGGATCCTAGGAGAGAGTCTGAAACTGCAGTACAGCAGGAAGAGTGGTTTAGTGATGATGATGCAGATCTGTCTGGATGGTGTCATCAGAGATCGAGAAGCTTCCAAATATTGTGTTTTGATGCAGCAGCTTTTCTGTCCGTACAAGATACAAGAGCAACTAATGGGGTATTGTAGTTAAGTAATCCATTGAAAATGAAATATTCAGTTTTTTAAAACCAAATGACAACATGCTTCTATTGAGAGATAAATACTAAGCTAGAACACTGAGCTATGTGTGTAACCAAAGTTGGCGTTTTTCTTTCTCAGGAGAAAAAAGAGCAAGAGCAGAAGTCGAAGCCATGACAGGAAGAGGAGCAGAAGCAAGGAGCGCAAACGGAGCCGGGAGCGGGAGCGGAAGAAGAGCAGAAGCCGGGAGAGGAAGCGGAGCCGAAGCAAAGAGCGCAGGCGCAGCCGTTCCAGGAGCAGAGACCGCAGATTCAGAGGCCGCTACAGAAGTCCCTAGTAGGTTATTTGTGTAGAGTTGCATGTGTGGTGCTTCAGTGTGTGATGTGGAAGCTGAAAGTTTCACTCTGCTTTCTAAATGGGTCACTAAACATCTTAGAAAAGAAGGTGAGAGGTTGAGGTTGAAGCTTGTCAATAGATAGAGTGAAAAAGGGGAGGATAGTAATGTATCCAGTTCCTTCTGCTAGTTTTCATTTTTATCCAAACAAAGATACAAAAGCAAGTGAAAGGATGAGTGTGACTGACTGGAAAATAAAGCTTATCACAAAATTAAAATAACAAGCAGGTTTTTTACATGTCCTAAATACCTTCAGTATATGAACCTGATGGTTTAACTGTGGAAAAAATGAGTAGTCTATGACTTCAGTTACAGGCTCATAAAACCTTTTGCTTGTATTACTAAAGGTGTTTACTGGGTTCCTACTCTTGAACACTTACTGCATAAACACAAAGTGTTTATGCATCCAAACTGGAAGTGTTTTGTCTTAGTAATGCTCATGTGTTACATATTTGGCCTGCTTTATCTCAAACTTGAGAGGCTGTGGAAGCATTCTTCAAGTTCTCTCAGATCTTTGGCTTGATAGAACTTCTATAGGTAGTTCCTCACAGTTGTAAGTAATTTTTCAAAACCCTATTGTTTCATTGGTGTTTATTCTGTTTCCACTGTTTTGTATTCTGCCCTTCTCTTTGCTCCCCGTTACCTTTTACCTTTTGGCCTTCAAAGAAGCAGAAAACCAGTGAGAATGGGGCTGTATGCTTGGCTTGCTTTGATTACCTGAGGCTGCTGTTCATGTCTGCTTTTGTCAGGGTCTCAGCTGTTGTTAAATCTCAGAGTGCAAGATCATACCAGAAGCAGGCATTTGAAAAGGCATATAATGCCTTTTATTTGAGATGTTTGAGAAGACAAGGTTTCCCTTCTTCAAATTGCAGGCTTGTATGGTTTTCTGCACATGAATGCTCTGGTAGGTGGCTGGGACCCAGTCCTGGGAATGCATTCCTTTTGGTACTCTTGGAGTGCAAACATAAAATGCCTGTGGTCTCTGGGTCTCATTTTGCCCTAAGTCACCTGAATGTTGGTATTTTCATAATGTAAACATACAGCGTCTCCTGGCTCTGCTGAGATGCAGTGGCATCCCTTGCTTCCAGCAGCCCCGGGTAGTGGGGATCATAGAGCATATCAGCCCTGCTCTGACTTTGTTCAGGTGTCAGGCCTCTCAGAGCCTCTGTAAAACTGCTCCGAAGGGTTCAGCTGAGCACAGTTTGCATGTTTTCTGCAGTTCTTTGGCATCTCTAGGACTACAGTAGGTAGTTGGATTGTGCCAGTGGCACTGTTGTGGCTCCAGACTGCCTTGTAAACAGAGAACCTTGACCAAGATCTTCAGACTTACCTGTCTGGAGCCTGCCAGTCATCTTGCCTCCAGTGTCGTGTTAGATGGAGAGTATGTCCTTCATAGCAACACTATGTTCTTTTAGCTGTTTTGGGTGGATTTGTTCTTTGTTTTTCCTGTCATCATGGGGTGAGAAGGTTACTCGCCTGGAGAAGTTGGTGAGTTTCAGTGTGCTGGACATGCAAAATAATTTTCCCAAGTAGAGATTTAAAGTAGGGATATTACTATGGTAACCCATAGCTCTTTTAATGCATCAAGATTTGTTGTACCAAAAAGGTAAACGATTGCAGGGGGGTTCTTCGTTGTTGTAATGCTCTTCCATAGCTGTTCTGGGCAACTTCTCTTGGTATTGAGACAGTGAGCAAAATGGTGAGATAATTTGGTATCACATAAGGATACAAGGTTGTGCTTAATTGTTTGGCAGTGTTGTGTTCTCTGCTTCAGTTGCTGAATTGTTGCTTTCCTGTAACCAAGTTGTTCTAGCATTTGCAGTAGTTTAGTGTAAGACTGTTACAGATGAACTGTGTGCATCCCAGAGGTGTTGGGACCGACTGCTGCGTAGCCAGCAGGTGGCTGTCGTTCACCTGTAGGTCTTGGGTGCTGCTGCTGAAGGAACATGCATGCTAACAGGATTCCAGAACTCTAGCTTTGGCTTAGAAGGTGTGAAAGAGAAGGACCTCACAAGATCTGAGGGATAAGAACTCTTCATTTCCTGTTCAGGACTCTTCAGTGCACAGACTCACCTTTAAAAGCTGTGTAACAGGCACTGACTTCCAGGAAGACACAAGTTCTGGAGCCAAAACCTCCAGCATCATCAGACACCTTTGGGTTAGATACCTTGAATCTACCAAAACCAGTGCTCTCCTATGAAGAAAAAAAAAAATCTCTGTAGCAGTGCTGTATAGCTCAGCCTTTAAAAAGTAGCTACCAGAATGCTCTTGCTGGCTGGAGAATTTGACTCTGGAATCTCACCTGGTGGGGCTGTTCTGATTTGGTGTTACTGCAGGCACTGTTGTAGCTGACTGCAGCATCTAGATCAAAATGCTTTGTGGCTGTATTTTTATTCCATTTAATCTTATTTGTTCTAGTAATCGTTTTGATTGGCTTTTCAAAGGCCCCCTTTCAAGCTAATACTTCTAAACTGAGGTGTTTTTGCTGGCAGGGTGATGTGGAAGTGTCTCTGCAATAGTGAGAATAGAAAGTTGAGTGCAGGTAATTCTGAAGGAAGAGTGCTGTGGACTGAGGACTTAGAATTTGTCCTCTTTAAGCATGAGATAGTGATGGAATATTTTAGACTTGGGTGAGTGGCTCAGTGTTCATGCACAAGGTTTTCTAATGTTATTCTTGCCTATCTTGCCCCCAGATGTTCTATAGTTATGTTATTACGTCTGTTAGGAAGAACTTGACCAGTTAGTTTTGCTTAGACATCTGACAAATCCCAGCTACTGCTAACGTACAGTACAAGCCACTTAGACTATCCTATTGTTTTTCTAGAACCAAGAACTTGGGCAAAGCTGCTGTGAAAACAGGGTTATTACATGAGGACTGAAAATGCATGGTACTCCTTGACTTTGTTAGACAAAGCTTGCTTTGTCTGAGATTCTGTTGGTGGAGTCTTGGATATGACCGAGTTTGGGAAAGCTGATACTTGACCATGTTCTGACCTGACTGTTGTTTTTCGGCCATCTTGCATCACATAGGTTTAGGAAAACAGGTACCTAACTGTGCTTTGGTGATACACAGGACTTAGTGCGTTTGACTTACCTTGAGAAGGTAACCAGCCCCTAGATGTAAAGATAAATTGCTCGTGATTGCTTGTGTAAATTGCTTCTGTTGCTTTACAAGCAGCTCTCCTTAGAAACCCCAAAGAAACGTCTCCCACAGAATGTTGTTGAAAAAAGATCTTCAGAAGGTAACTTGGGCCATTGTCTTGTCCCAGGCAGCTTTCTGACCAGCTGTTCCAGTGATCTGTTAGCTGCTTTGGTTTGGGTTTTTTTAATGTTTCTCCCATCTAAATCGTGTAAGATACTTCTTACTTGACAAGAGTGAAAATAGAAAAGAGGTTTTTGGAGTGGTCTTTTTTTGTGTGTGTTTGTTTTTTTTTATTTCTTGGAGGTTGTACATGTATTTGAAAACCATGACTGTGTATCATCTAAGGTTTTTTTCACTAGGTTTAGGCAAACACTTAAAATGTTTCTTTCATTGTTTCCTTAAACTCATGGTCCTGTTTAGTGACCATTATCTGGTTGGTGTGCAGGTTAATACTCTGGAGTCACTGTAGCTGGTTTGTCTTGCTGCATTTGAATTGGAGAACATCATGTTCTCCATCAGGTGGTGTGAAGATGCAAGATAATCCCACCTCTGATGAGAAGCCAGCCTCTGGAATTAGTACCGACATTTCCAGATGCAACTTTTGGCATTGTCATAGACACTGGAAAACCTGAATGGATGTTCTTGGCAGTCATTTGTCTAAACTTGAGTGGGAAATGGAGTTATTTATTCTAGGCAAAAAAAAATGTTTGGTTTTGATCAATAGTGATCTCAACATGTTCCTGTTTTTTTTATGTCTTATTTTCTCCTAATAAGTAGTTTCTAAATGGTCTTTTTTCTTTATTTTTTTTTCCAGTGTTATAGAGGGCCATGTTTCCCTTGCTTTAACCTGGCCAGCACGGTTTTGGATCTTGGCCCACTGCTTCCACCTGTGTCATGGCATGTTTAACAATGGGCATCCTCCTCCATGTTGTGGATGCCAAGCTTAACTATAAGCATTACTGCTCCACTGACTAGCAAGACGACGTTTATCAGACCAATGGGTTGGCTAAATGTATTTAGTGAAAGACTATTTAATGTCTTCAGATTGCCATGTCTTCCAGGGTTCTTTCACAGCAGTTCATAGCTACAGCAGAAAGAATCAGTTGTGTGCAGATGGAAAGACAAAGCCCCTAGCATTCCGTCTGCGCAGCAGCTCTGCGGCTGGGTGGATGTGCAGGAAGAACGTGAACAGGTGTTGTGCTTTGCCTTGTATCTACAAGGAGATCCAGTTCAGGGAGAACAGGCTGTTACCCTGTGCCACAATAACTACTGTCCTTAACATGGGGAAGCAGTGGGCAGATTGCCATTTGTTCTCACAGCCTCTGTGGAGCCTGGAGAAATAAAATTAGGTGCTCCAAGAGATTGGATGCCTTCTGTGACAATGTATCTACACCAGGCTAACTGCTGGCTTAAATAGTTCTGTCTCTTAATGCCCATTAAGAACTTCACTTAAAGGAAGCTGCGTTTACATATTGGTAGCAATTCAGTGGCTGGAGCTGAGAGTTAGTGAATGTGTCGCTCTCAGATGTCTGCAGGGAGCTACTTGATTTCCACTCGCATTTTAAATTTAATGAAACTTTCTGTTTGAAAATGTTACCTTTGAGCGCTGCACTAGCCCTGCCAGCACCACTTTGCTCAAAACTCTGAGGCTGAGTTACAGGCCATTAAGGAACTGCTTTGCAGTCACCAGTAGGTAGAGTACGCACGTGGACCAAAACACACGTAAAGAAGATTACAGTAGTAAATGTAGCCCAGAATGTTTTGTACGTACAGATAGATGTGCTACGTCTAGTTGGCTCATTATCATTCATTTCTTCCTTGGAGTCCTTCATATTCTGGGATTTTGTGGTGCAGATGGAACTGAGCAGGGAACATACTCTGTGCCTTACAGTTTGGAGTGTTGCATGTAGCTTTTGCATGCTGTGGGTGCTTCTACTGGAACATGAGTGTAAGTTCAGGTGCAAGGGTGGGTAAGCACTTGCAATGTAAGAGGAGTACAGATGGGAAATCTTGATTTCGAGTACTCTAGGGTAATGTCTGTCTTCCTTTTGTCATAGTTCTGGTCCAAAATTCAACAGTGCTATCAGAGGGAAGATTGGTCTGCCTCACAGCATCAAATTAAGGTTTGTGAGTAGTTTGCTTATTTATTTATTGCATCATTAATAGGTTTTGTTTAAAATCAGACTGGTATAGCTGAATGTTTTCTGAAAATCTTGTTAATCTTTCTTTATAGCAGACGACGCTCCAGAAGCAAAAGCCCCTTCAGAAAAGACAAGAGCCCTGTTAGGTAGGAGCATTCATGTCTGGACTTTTTTTTTTTTTTTTTTTTTGTCATTGAAGCTGGAAAAGTGACGAAGTAATGCACGACTAATTGCACTCCAGCTTAGACTCACATGCAATGCTGGGATTCATTCGGAAAGCCCATGAGAGCAGACCACTGAAAATAAGTTGCTTTTTCCCCATGTTGTAAATGATCTTCCCTCCCACCATTAGCAGTGTACCATTAGAAATAATGTTGGCTTGCAAAACGTTGCTTTGCTTCATGTGTTTCTATATTCTCAATCCTTTTTCCTGTTAATTGAAATTTAAATTAGCTGGCTTTTCTGCTAAACCTTAAGTACAGCAAGGAAAAGCTCTGTACAAATGCTCCTTTTGCCTATTTACTATGTATTGATATTATTTGTTGAGAAGCTGGGTACTTCTAAAATCCAGGAGGTGCTTATACATTCTTAAGCTTCTCATTTAAGTGAATTGAATTGAAGTAGCTGCTAATGAGATAATTTTCTAAATTAATGCAGTTAAATTTAACCTATCTTGCTTTGTTTTCTTAATTATTAGCAAAGTCTAAGATAATTTAGTTTAAATTTTTGTGTATTCCTTACATGATTTGAAAAATATTTATAAAAATACATATCACATGACTGGAAAGCTAGTCCAGGGCCCAAGCATTACGAATTCTGTCCTATACTTAAGTACAGGTCAGAATGTTTTAGATTTGAAGCTTTTAACACTTTAAAAGTGGTGCATCTAACTTCAGTTAATGATCAGTATTGAAATAAAATTAATCAGTGCTTCTGCTGTCAAGGGTGAGAGTAATTGTTGACTTCATAGTTTTTATGGGTTAACAAGCTGAAACCATAAAATGAGGACTGGGAGTTGTGTGTATAGGTGTCAATATTGTTCATGTGGTGACTATGTTGGCTCTAAAGTGAATGGATACATCTTTGTTTTTAGTTTCTTAGATGTTTAGTTTGCAGAGCCACAAAGAAGAGTTGGCACTATTTGTCTGAGACCTCAGACAGCTTGTCTGTGCTAGTCAATCCTGTTGCCCTTTGTTTTCCTGTCTTTTCATCTCATCTTTTTGATGGCAAACTCCCTAGTGGCATTGTTACCTTTTCTGGACAGTTTCAGTTCGGGCTTCTGTACTTAAACACGACCGGAAAATGGTATTTTAATGCTTACAGTTGAAACAGGATGTTTAGACATTTTAAAGAAGTTGTTATATTATTATTGGGTATTCCTGTAAGTTCTTGACCCTGCCTTTTAAAATAATGACAGGTGGGTTTTTTTTCCCCTTATCAGATTTTGAAGTGCTGATTATATAAAGCTTCATTCATGATCCACAGATGAGTTGTCTTAATTCAGACTGTTAAACTTTCTTCTTTCTAGGGAACCTATTGACAATCTTACCCCTGAAGAGAGAGATGCTCGAACAGTATTCTGCATGCAGCTGGCTGCACGAATTCGGCCGAGAGACCTGGAAGAATTTTTCTCTACAGTAGGGAAGGTAATTAATGGGGGCTTTAATAAAGTTATTTTGAATACTTCCTCAAGCCATCCTAGTACTGGATTGATATTCTACAGAATTATAAGCAAAACTTTTTTTCTGGAGCTTCCTATACAGGTGAAAGGGAGGGGTGAATACAACCAACTTATTCTTGAAGGCTCTGAACGTGAAAATGTAATCTGCCAGTTCATTGTTCAGCATGTGATGCAAAATGTGGCAGTTTTCATTCAAACAATTTCATTTTTCAGAAATTGCAAATAGGTCTACCAGTTACAGTGTAATTTAAAATATGTTTCACTTTTAATTGTGTAAAGCTTTATTCCATCAGCTCTAAGGTTCTGGTTTGAGGCACTGCAGTGCTGCGAGTATTCTGTTGCCCCTGTTCCTATAGCATACTGCGTTTGACTTTGGCAGCTTTTAATGCTAGCTGGCCTCTGGGGTGCAGTTGTTAAAACAGCTTTATGCTACTCTAGATCTGAAGCGTAATTACAAAGCAGTTTGCTTAACAGTTAATTGTCTGGGTATTATACCTTTCTGAGAAATGGGCTCCATTGGGCTGTATATCACCATTTCTGTCCTTGCCTTTCAGGTTCGTGATGTGCGAATGATTTCGGATAGGAACTCCAGGCGTTCAAAGGGAATTGCTTACGTGGAATTTGTTGATGTTAGTTCCGTGCCTCTGGCGATAGGACTAACTGGACAGAGAGTCTTGGGTGTGCCAATCATAGTGCAAGCATCACAGGTAAGGTGGCGTAAACCTCAGTTTTATTCATGTTGAGGGGGTGCCTCTTTGTTTCTGGCTGGGAAACTCACTGTGTGAAGACTTTTAATCTGGTAGATGTATACGGCTTATACTAGGGTTTTTTATTAAATTCCTACAGAAGGTGATTTTTTTTTTTTTTTATCTTTTTTTAGGCAGAGAAAAACAGAGCAGCAGCAATGGCAAATAATCTCCAGAAGGGCAGTGCTGGTCCTATGCGGCTTTATGTGGGATCATTACACTTCAACATAACTGAAGATATGCTTCGAGGAATTTTTGAGCCATTTGGCAGGGTAACTTTTAATTTGGCATGTTGCATTATGGAAGTTTACCTGAAAAAGCTAGATTAGTTATAGAGCACTTGCAACTTCTGGAAGTAATTCACCTTCACACCTACAAAACATTGTTTCTTGTTCTCACTCTTCTGTGCTCCTACCATCCATAACGCTTTAGATACACATCTAGTCTTGGAGAACAAATGAGAACCTTTGTTTGTGATATGGTGCAGTGATTTGGGATGGTGGGTCTTGTGAAAGAAAGCTGAAAATTACAAAATGGAAATAAATAAATAAAACCAACAACACAAACAGTCAAACAAAAACTCCCTAAGTGATGTCTTGCTTCTGCAGCTTGTAAATATCTTCGTCCTTCCCATGTGATTGTGAACGGGGGCCCAATTTCAGAGATTAAAGCACAAAGCATGGAATCAGATTTGAGCTCTTCTCACTGTGAAAATTACTATTTCATCTGTTTCTGAGGATTTTTGCTGAAGTTCTAGCTTGTGTTACTACTGTGAAGGTGCAGCGTGTCCCACACCGCTCTGGCATGGGCCATTTTTCACACCTGATAGTTAGGCCTCGCTTTACAGCGTGGTAACGTGTGCTTGTAGAGAGAGTTATGGAGGTGAGCAGATAGAATCTGAAGTTTCCCATGGAGTCATAGTAACTGTTAGCCTTGCTGTGCTAGCGAAGGGATTGTGGGTACATCACAGTTAGATTGGGAAAAATAAATAATATGCTGTTTAAACGGGGTTTGTGGAATTGTTAAATCTATTGATGGGTTCTTATACTGTCTTTGGATATTAACCCTGCCTCGCATAATACTCTTAACAGTGCTTTTCAAATGCTTTATTCAGATTCAGTGTGTGTGTCCCTTTAATTCTGTTGTGCAAAGGCCTGGAAAGTTGCAGCAGTTGATTAACAAGGCTCCTCATGTTTTATTCTCAAGGTCTGGCAGCAGGGCTTAATGTACTGTAGGAGGCTTACATATAGAGCTGTGATTTGTTCTCCTGATTCCTTATACTCCAGTCTTAAACTCAGTCCTTCCTCTAGTCTCTTCTCAACACTTATTTTATGGCTCATGGATGACTTCCTGATAGTTTTTTTTAAATTCAGTAAGTAAACTTCTGGCAGTTCCCATATGCTAACAACTATTTTAAATATGCACCTTGTTTTCAGTTGAAGTTATCCAAGCTGCTTTTCTTGTGTTGTAAAACAAGGCTCAGTGTGTGAAGTGCTGCGACTGTAACATTCCAGTTAGGATTTGGTGGTGTCTGCATGCTCATAGTCTGTTTAGAATGTTGCATCAGGACCAAGCATCTGCCTGTAGCTGGATTCAAAGGATAAATTGTACATCACCCTTATGTTTACCTGCTTCTGTTTTAGCATCGGGGTACCTATCTAGCTGTCTGTACACTAATTTTGACCTGAGGAAGTAATGAGTAACTCTTTAAAAAAAAAAAAATGTTTCACTTAAGTATTTTTGGCAGGGTTGTATTCAGGTTCTGTTTTGGTATTTTGTGGTTCCAAAATGTTTGATAATAAAGAGATTTATTCTTATTTTTAGATTGAAAGCATTCAGCTGATGATGGATAGTGAAACTGGACGCTCAAAAGGATACGGATTTATTACGGTATGATTAGAATTGCCAGACTTCTGAGTTTCCGAATACCTACTTCCCATGTAGTAGTATAGCATATTTGGCAATCTGTGTTAAGTTTCATCTGAGAAATCTCATGTTGCAGGACATGGAACAAAGGCCCTTTCCCTAGTTTCTGCCATCTCTCTCTGGGTGTTGTGGTTGAACAACACACATTTAGAATGCAATAGTGCCCTTTTTGGTCAGTGCCTGGTAAAGCAATGCAATGTTCTGCATACAAGGATACTAGTAGAAACTGGCATTTTCACAGTGCTGTGGAAGTGATTGAATTTGAGCTTTTTAGGGGAAATAAAATTTTAGAAGATAAACTTGCAGTTGAAAACATCTTTCCTCTTTACCCTCATATACATGATTTTGTGAACTTGGGTTTCTGGATGAACCTGGCAGTTTGTCTTGGGGAGGAAAAAAGTCTCAACTGGGACCTCTGGCACTTGGAGAAAAATGAAGCCAAACTAACTATATAGTTAGTATTTGATGGTTTTAACACTGACAGAATATTTGTATACTTAATTTGCTATTATGCAGCATAAAGCAGAACATCTGTTAGGAATAGCCAGTAAATGCATGGCATTTATAAGGTTTCAAAGGAAGTGATTAATTCTTGAATGTGCTGAAAGAAAACAGTGTACTGCATCTGTGACTTCTGTTTCTTGCAATATCTTAGATGCTGTGGCTTCAACAATAATATAGATTTAAATATACTCTTGCCTAAATATGAGAAAGTAAATATGCAAACTTGTGTATGTCTGGTTGAAATGGAAAATACAGAGCACATTTAGGTTAGCTTGTGGCTATCATTACCTTCAGCGTAGTGCGTCTCACGTTTGCGAGGCTGTGGCTGTTGAATTCAGTGTCAGTGTTGCTGAACCCTGTAGGCAGCGTTACTGAGTTTGTATTTCTCTAACCTACAGTTCTCAGACTCTGAATGTGCCAAAAAGGCCTTGGAACAACTCAATGGGTTTGAGCTGGCTGGTAGGCCGATGAAAGTTGGACATGTAACTGAGCGCACTGATGCTTCCAGTGCTAGTTCGTTTTTGGACAGTGATGAGTTGGAACGGACTGGAATTGACTTGGGAACAACCGGTCGCCTTCAGTTGATGGCAAGGCTTGCAGAAGGTATGTGAGAAGATACTGAGGTTAGCAGAATTTTGAGTAGCACCACACAGACTATTCTGCTCAGTGCACGGAGCGGTGTTTGTAAGCGTGTGACGCCAGCGGGACTGGCGGGGCCGCGGTGGCAGCAGCCCTGGGGAAGGGTGCTCGCTCCAGCGCAGTTGGTGTTCTGTTCCAGGCACGGGCCTGCAGATTCCCCCGGCTGCGCAGCAGGCGCTGCAGATGAGCGGGTCCTTGGCGTTTGGAGCTGTGGCAGGTAAGAAATGATGACCTATTCATTTTTCAAGAATACTTTGCTTTTATAATTCTGAGACAAGAGGTACTTAACTACACCTTACGATGTTTTAAAATGAGAGCATACAGCATGTTTTACAAGCTGTACAATGTCGCAAGTCCATGAGCAAATAAACAGTAACAGTTTATGACAGCTTTGATGGGCGTGATTCACTCTGCATTGGTTTTGGGGCATCTGTTGAAGGTTTGGCATGAGTTAAGCCAACTACATCTGTTTACCTTTGCTATTCCCTTGTACTAGTAGGGACTTTCATGTTCCACTGCAGTGTCAGTGTTGACTGTTGAAAATGGCAGACTCATAATCGGAAGGGGATTGACCCTTCTGCAAAACAGAGCAGTACCAGGGGCAATAAGGTTATTAGGACTTGAAGGGAGCCATGGCAACTTAGAGTACTGTTAGGTTGGTACAGTGTGTGTCCTGATGAGGAAGGACACTGTATGTCAGGGATTTGAGTTGCTTGGAATTGGCTGTAGTTGGCATGTTCTGCAGTTGGGCGTGTTGGAAGCGTTCCTCAGACTTTATTTTGTTGTGAGGGGGAATGAGGCTGAGGATATGGTTGCTGCTGCTAGTTCATAGCTGGCCTTGACAACAAACTATTAAAGAGGGCTTCAGAATTAGAGCAATAAGGAACCTCTTACAGAAGATCAGGAGTTTATGGAGTGGAGTTTTGTTGTCCTGCTGGTTATCGATACAAGAGCAAAGGGCCTAAATGTCACAAATAATGAGATGTTGGAATGTGGGAGTAGCATAAGAAAATCTGCAAAGAATAGGTGACAGTTTTGTTTGTCTTCCAGCAGAGTTTGTGACAGAAGTGAATCCAATTTAAGAAGCACCTGAATCATTACAGAAGTTCAGGTGCAGTTTTGAGAAGAGCATACCCATGAAATTGTAGACAGTTGCTAAAGGAACATAATAGTGTCTTTCTATGGATACACCCTTAGAAGGAAGAGGGACTGGCTCATGAAAGAAACATGGATTGAGGAATAAGTGTGGGGTTTTTTCCCTATTTAAAGATGAAAAAGACACAGTGGCAAGGGAAAAGCTTATCTAGCCCTGAAAGAGAAGGAAAAGTAAACATTAGATAACCTTTAACATAGATGATAAAGTAGTGTGACAGTCTCGCCTGAAAAGAGGTCCAGTCAGTGAGAAACAAGAGAAATCTCTTTTCAGAAAAGAAAAGAACAAATAATCCTTTCACTGTCCCTTTATATGGAGAAAAAAAAAGCGCCAAAGAAATCCCTTATCTAGAGATCTATTAGAGCTTATCTAGAGATCTTAAAGGTTATCTATTAGATAACCTTTAACATAGATGATAAAGTAGTGTGACAGTCTCGCCTGAAAAGAGGTCCAGTCAGTGAGAAACAAGAGAAATCTCTTTTCAGAAAAGAAAAGAACAAATAATCCTTTCACTGTCCCTTTATATGGAGAAAAAAAAAGCGCCAAAGAAATCCAAACTCCCCAAATGGGGAACATGGCCAAAAATGTCTGACACAGCTGAACTGTTAGGATAGCATGGAATCGGTATGAGCCAACATGGCTGTGGAGGAATACATGATAAGGCTGAAATAGAGATTTTTGAAGAATGTGCATGTGGAGTAACTGTGGAAATAGAAGCAGTAGGAGTAGCATTGTTTATTCCACCTGTGTTGTGTGAAAGGAATAATGCAGATGTGCAACGTAAGTAACTTTGGAAAAAGATAAAGCTTTTTACTACCATAGAGTCATGAGCTATCCCCAAAGTGAGATTTGGTTATGGATTAAAGATCTCTTTACTCTTGTTAGAGAAAATTACTACCAGGAATTGTGTCATTATGGGAGACTTTAACTTCCCTGATACAGATTGGAGAAGAATTGCTAGTAATAATGGTGGGGCCCAGATATTCCTGGATGTGATATCCGACAAATTTCTTCATCAAACACTCACTGACTCATGAAGAGGGGATGCTATTTTATACTGAATTTGGTAAGTAATGAAGATGTTATGGATGAGAATAGAAATGACCATTGACTTGAGGGATCATGAGTTGCTCGAGTTTAAATGGAAGAATAAATGAAACAGGTCTGTAACTAAGGCTTCTGATTTCAAAAGTGGTGGTTGGAGAAACAAAGCAATAAAGTCATCTGGTCTAAGTACCTTTGATGTTTGAACAGGCAGGATATAAAAAGCTTCTTCATTTCCAAATTGATAATGCTGTATTGGGTCTGTATTCCACAGAAAGAAGAAACAGTCCTGTTAGAAATGGGCTCCACACAGAACTGGGTGATTAACCACTTCAAAAGAAATAAGGAGAAAGCACAGAGCCTGTGAAGAATAGGAAAAAGTACTGATAATAGACCAGTATTTTTAGTTTGGGACATAGATAAAATGAGAATTGTCTGATGATAGTCAGACTGAGTTAGACTTTGTAAAACACGTGAAAGCATAGATGCAGATTTACCAGCTCTTGGAAGAGAACTGAAAGGAAGCAGGGCTGAGGTTGTGTGAAAAGGTACTTCTAAGATGTTTCAAAAGAATCCTGTTGTGGTGGGGTCACTGGCCACAAAGTTTTGAATTTGACAAAGGTGAGCTAGGAATATGGATTAGGAAAAAAAAATTATTCACAAGTTAGAACTAAAGCTTAAAGCAACAGCTGAATGTACTCAGTTCCAAGTAATAAGAAAACTATCAAATTAGTGAGGGAATAGGTATGTGAAATGAGGCCTGGTATCTGGTATTGTCAATAAATATTTAAGATCTGTGATAAAATATATAGCTGAAACATTGAATTACCTACCCTTAAAAGGAAGGAAGAAAAATACAGCCTAACTGGTTTCCAGGCCTGTCGCTTTGACTTCACTTGTCTCCTTCAAAAGCCATGTTAAAGATGGGTGAACGGGAGAATATTATTTTACGGTATACAATAGTTTGAGAGAAACTGCATTTAAAGACTCATGATCTTTGATAGAGGTGACTTTCCTAGACAGGAGCAGTAGTAGAACTCTTCTCTCTGAACTTGGCTTGTGTCACTTGCAAAGCGGGTCATTAAACTAGAGGAGTGGATAGCGCAGGAAGTACAAGGTGCATAAAGGACCTGGCTCAAAGCAAGGGTTTTTTTCACCTGAAAGCTGGGAAGGTTAGAGGCTGTTGTTGAAGCCAAAGTTCAGGTGTTGAGCTGATTTTGTTTAATCATTACATGAACATCAGTGGTCAACAAGGGTAGGAGTGAGGTGAGTAAGTACAGAGGTGCTGTCAGTAAGGGATTCTTGGCATGTCATACTGTTCACCTGTTCAGGAGTGAAACAAATTCTGGTTATATAGCCTGGGAGCTTAGCAGTGAAAGGTGGCTGAGGAGGAGGAAAACATCTAAATACTTCAGTTGATCAGTGAGTGAGTATGAACTTGTCAGTGGGGTGTGTTTTTGAAAGGGCAACTGTGTCCCTACAGGTAGTGTACTTGAGAGCACCTGAGATGTAACTTAAACATTCAGAACCAGTTCTGGTCACCCATGTTTAAGATGAGTTGAACCAAACTAAATTAGGGAAACTAAAGAATTAATTTTATGGGAGACCTGAGGACTTGGTCATTAATCCCATGGAGAAAATTCCAGCAGAAAT